GCAAATCTGGACTTTCAATCAAAACATTTTTGACAGTCTGGACATTTTTGTCCAGAAGGATCTTCTTTATTGAGAACATTTGTTTTAATATTGGATTCGAACGGTAAAAGGGTTTGTAATACATACCAGCTGACAAATGGATTTCGTGTACAAGTAAAGGTAAGACCATAAACTTTTATTATTTCTAGTTAGAAATAAGCTCAATTGGAATAAATTTTAACCTCAAATTAAATATGGGTCACGTTTGTGTGGAGAATGAAATATAAAACACAACGCATTGTCTGTTAACAGACAATTTGTATTTGTAAATCTGACTGTAAAAGAGTTAGTGCCTCACCAGCTGTCAACCTCACCGCACGTCACTGCATGTGGCATACTTGACTGTTTATCCAGGGCTTCTGGTTGGGAAACCTCCTGACGTGTATGGTGGGAACAATGTTGTCAATGACCTAATGCACCTGGTCACATACTCAGCATAGTCCTGTATGCTGACAGAAAAGTCCTCCAAGGTGGCTGCAGCTTTAAACACATCCCAGTCTGTCTGAAGCAAAACAGTCCTGCAGGATCTCCATGTTCCAAAGAATATTCCACACTTTAACTTGATCATACTTGCTGCCCAAGTTAACTTATTTAACATATTTAAAAATTATTGATCAACTTACTGTTCAGAATGTTGTATGAAGTGGATTAAAATCATTCTCAAACGCTCATTCTATTCATGTATACAGTGAATTTTTGGACTATAATTTATTTATACTCCACTCAGGCCATATAATCTGATGCTGATAGTGAGGGTGAAATCAACTAATAAACAGTCTTAAAGGGCAACTTTAAGAAAAGTGTTCTGGAGTGTGTCCATACACTATGATGTCACCGGTGGGAGTGCTTACTGTGCAATAATTCTACCATATCTCATTTTGAAAATACTCAGCCGCCTATTAAAACCAAACAAGATCAAAAGAATAAACGAAACTATAGTGGTCTTAATCCAACAGCAACTTTAATATAAATGTTAAGGGCAAAATGTGTGGCAGCATAACATGGCAAATAAAGGCACATCCACTTTTTCCACAAGGCATAAATGTGATTTAAATCTGGCTTAAAGGATATGAAATAAATTCTATGTGCTCTATACAAAACAAATTCAATCAACAGACAACATGAATTGGCATATCTTCTCCAAATATATTACAGGTTTTAGATCTATGTATATAAAAAAGGAAAAAACTAAATTCATTTTTAAATCCAAATTCAATTCATTTTAGTGACTTTGCTTCATGATGGAAAAACATGCATGTCCTCTTCAACAGAACTGAAAGAAAGAAAGAATAACTGGGATTAAAAATGATTTCAAGTTTCATTGGTGAAACTTCACAGCTGATGGTTAATGGATGTTTGGAGCTTTCTTGTGTGTTATCTTTACATTCAGTGATAATCACCAGGCCCACTGTGCATAACCTTAAGATGGGTACTCAATTGTATGTGATCCCTCAGATCACAAACATGATTTTATTAAGATATTTTAAATCCTACGTTGTTTATGTGTTGGTGCATTGCGACTTTTGTCTTTCAATAAGTGGAAAACCAACAGCACGATACACTGTTCTTACTCAAGACAAATACAAAGAGGCCCCACTTGTAAAAACAAATAATCCTACTATCCATCCATCCATCTTCGTCTGAGACCAGGTCACGGGGGCAGTAGCCTGAGCAGAGCCTCCCAGGCTTCCCTCTCCCCACACGCCTCCTCTAGCTCCTCAGGAGGAACCCCAAGGTGTTCCCAGGCCAGCCGGGAGACATAGTCTCTCCAACATGTCCTGGGTCTGCCCCGAGGCCTTCTCCCGGAAGGACATGCCCAGAATACCTCCCCAGGGAGGCGTCCAGGGGGGATCCTAAACAGGTGCCCGAGCCACCTCAACTGGTTCAATGTGGAGGAGCAGCGGCTCTACTCTGAGCTTCTCACGGGTGACTGAGCTCCGCACCCTATCCCTAAGGGTGCGCCCAGCCACTCTATGGATTAAACTAATTTCTGCTGCTTGTATCCACAATCTCATTCTTTCGGTCATGATCCAAAGTTCATGGCCATAGGTGAACGTAGATCAACTGGTAAATTGAGAGCTTTGTCTTATGACTCAGCTCCTTCTTCACCACAATGGACTGGTACAGAGACCGCATTACTGCGGACGCTGCACCGACCCGTCTGTCAACCTGCCGCCCCATTTTCCCTCACTCGAGAACAAGACCCCAAGATATATAAACTCCTCCACTTGAGGGAGCAACTCAGCCCCAACCTGGAGAGAGCAATCCACCTTTTTTCCAACTGAGAACCATGGCCTCAGATTTGGAGGTGCTAATTCTCATCCCCGCCGCTTCAAACTCGGCTGCAAACCCCTCTAGTGCACGCTATAGGTCTTGAACTGGTGAAGCCAACAGAACCACATCATCCGCAAAGAGCAGAGACAAGATTCTGCGGCCATCAAAACAGACGCCCTCCATTACCTGGCTGTGCCTAGAAATTCTATCCATAAAAATGATGAACAGAATCGGTGACAAAGGGCAGCCTTGGTGGAGTCCAACATGCACTGGAAACAGTCCTAGTAAATAATCCTAATGGTGAAAAACTTGACTGTGCACCTTTATCTCCTCCTGCCATCCATATTTATTCAACATCTGCCAAAATTAAAGCTGCAAAAATCAATTCTGGATACTAGATCAAATAACTGTGCAATGTGAAATGTGTTGCTCATGGGGACAAATTTAGAGAATATCATCCACTCTGTAGCTCTACAGTGTCTTTTTCTTTAGGCACATTTATTGTTTGGTTTAGGTGCAGCAGTCTCATCTGTAAACTGTAACAGTAAAACCGTAAACTGCTGATTTCACTAAAAACAGCTCTGATAAACTCACTGTACAGCACCTGCCCAGCACCAGGCAGCAGGTCCACAAAGTTAGTTAGAAGAACCTCCCTTATCATTAGAGGTGGATTCACTAAGAGTTTGCATTGTCTGATAAATCAGGTCAAAACAGGCCAGGACATGGTGTCTCTCGGGGATACTACCCCCTCCATAACACTCACACTTGTTATTCCAGCTTCTCCACCCTTTGTTTTGATAGTTGGTTTGACCATTTGCTTTGCCCACCACCTAGCAAAGGTTCTACAAGGCCTTTTTCGAACACCAGCCATAGTGCAACAGTCAGCCACTAACTTAGAGCAGTTTATTAAACAGCTGTTGAACAAACAGAACAAAACTTAGAGATACTGTATGTGATGTCTGCACCGCTGAAGCCCACATTTTACCTCTAAAACTAGCGGTGAAGCCCTCATTTAGTCACTAGCTTCAAACTGGTGAATGCATTTGCTAGGAAACAGAACTTGTCAGTTTGTTTTGAGTGTCACGGTGGCTGAAAAAATTAATCAGTGCACCTTTAAGGTATCCTGTCTGGGAACACTGGCTTCCTCATGAAATGAAATAATGGGCACACAAATGAATAAGAAAGTCACTTTTGGCTTTTCCCGTTTAGGGGTCGCCACAGCGAATCGTCACACTCACGACTCGCATGTTGACATATGGCACGTGTTTTATGCCGGATGCCCTTCCTGACGCAACCCTGATTTAAACCTGGGCCACAGCGGTCAGAGCACTGCGCCTGAACCACTAGCCTACCAGGGACGGCGGACACACAGCAATAAGGTGTCTTATTTGTTAGGTTCAAAATAACTTAAATTTTTACACTGTCATAACGTGACACATAACCACTCTGAAAACCAATTCTCTTTAACATGTAAATTGTATCATTTCCCCATCAGGTACAAAACATTGGCAGACATGGTAAAAATCATGATAACAGCACTGATTTCAGATGTTCCTGTCATATAGTTGACAGAAGGGAATGCCATCTGTAACTCTTCTGAAAACATAGAGATGGATGAACAGTAACGGTATACTGGTTGTTCCAGCTCTTTGAGAAATTCCTACATGTTCTATGTTCAACAAAACTAATATGCTTGTTTGCAAAACCAAAATTACTTAAGTTAATAGGTTCATACAACTTAACACTTTTTTTTTTTTTTTTTATATTTACTTACGTTTAAATTGTTGGAGCATGTTTAAGAGTCCTGGGGTGTTTCAAAGTGCTAAAACAACAACGCAAACTTCCAACAAACCACCAGCTTTTAAACAGAGTCATTTCACCTTGATCTAAAGCCAGGTGAGGGAGGGAGGGACTGGAAAAACTACAAGGAGAGGGAGGAAGGTGTAAATGTGGAGAGCAGGAGGAGGAGGGTGAAAAGGACAGCAAAGGAGTAATGAAATGTAAACAAGAAAGAAAACAAAAGCTGAAAGAAGAGAAACAGTAAAACAAAGAGAAGAAAAGGAGACAGAGGAGAAGGAAAAAACAAAAAATGACAAAAGAAGGACCAGAAGGAGGAGCTACGGCGGACATAAAAAGGAAGCAGTGCTGACTGAAGGTGTATGGAAAGGTAGAGCTGAGAGGAAGGCTAGTCTCTGCTGCCATCTTCTGGTGACGGTATCAAGAGAGCTCAAAGATTTTTGTTGTCAAGTCACTATATGTGCAGGACATACAGAAGAATCAAAATACTGTTTCTCTCTCACCTAGTATTGAATGCCATACCATTTAGGAAACTAAAACAGAATAAAAGTAGAGTAAAAATAGACTAAAAAGAATAAGAAAGCTAAGTCAAAGTGATTAGGATAAAGCTAAACAGTATAACCTAATAGGCTATGAGTCACACCATGTACAATCAGTGACAGTAGTGCAAATAATAACAAGAAGATTGTCAGATGATTGTGAGATTAAAATGCACATGGACAGCAGTGCGAATGACCAACAGCAGCACATTTACATGTAATATAACAAGAAGGGGGAATGTATTGGGTTTGTCTAAAACAGCAGAGGTAGTCCTTTTTATGTTCTCTGGTGGGTCAAAGTCCAGGGGCAGGGGGCAGAGGTGGGAGGTAGTGAACAGTGTTCAGCATCCTCATAACCTGGTGGATTAAGCTGTTTGTAAGCCTGGTGGAGTGGACCTGAAAACTCAGATACCTTCTCCCTAAAGGCAGGAATCTGAAGTGGATTGTGAGGGGTGGGAGGTGGGAGGTGACCTGTTTGACCTGTATGCAAACTGAAATGGGCCGTGAGAGGGAGGAAGGATGGACCTGACATTCTGCATGACCAGCCGCTCGAAGCACTTCATAATAATTTAAGTCATTGCTACAGGCTGATAGTCATTGTAACTGGGTGGAATTGGAATTATTGTGGCAGCCTTGAAGCACGTGGGAGCAACCGCTTGGCTCAGAGAGGTGTTAAAGATGTCTGTGAGAACATCCTTGAGCTCCCCGGCAGTCTTTTAAAGCATGACCAAGTATGTTATCCGGTCCAGCTGCCTTGCGTGGGTTAACCCTGGAAAGGGTCTTCTTCACGCAGGCTACGGACAGACACACAGCCTGCTCGCCTTTGGGGGGGGGTTATGCTCTGAAGGGGGTCACAGCTTGTATGCTCCCTTGCATGCGGTGTACACAAAGTCCAATGTGTTGTCTCCTTTCGTTGGAAAGTCCACACGCTGGTGCAGATTGGGCAATAAAAGCTTTAAATCCGCGTGATTGAAGTCCCCAGCTGTGATGAGGAATTCATCTGGGTGCATTGTCTGTTATTCACTGATGGCCTGGTAGAGTTACTTTAGTGCCTCACTCCTATCGCTGGTGTTAGCGGTGGGAGGAATGTAAGCAGCTATCAACAGATCCGTGCAGATTCTCAGTCATCCAGGTCATAGTAAGCTGAAAAAAACTTAGAAAAATCAACTGGACTTGGTTTTTAGGTCCAAGAGGCTTCATCAGTTCTGCCCGGCTGGAGTTGAACTATCAACAGAATTACTGGGTAGTGCCTACATAAATGGAAAGGCCGACACTTGATGATAATAAACTCCACCAACAGAAAACTGTGTTTATGAACAATAGCAGCATCCTGACACCAAGCATCGCTGATGTAAACACAAACTCCCCCTCCACGTGTCTTGCTGCCTTCCACAAGGACTCGGTGGCATGTTAACCCATCTAGCTGGATAGCGGAGTCCAGGGTGTTGTCACTGAGCCATGTCTTCATAAAAGTGAAAACACAGCAGTCCCTCACATCACGCCACACAGATCTCAGGAGCTGTATATGGTCTATTTTGTTGTCCAGTGAACGTACACTGGCCATAATGAGGGATGGTATCGCGGGTCTGTGTGGGCTAGCTGCTAGCCTAGCCTGAATGCCTCCCTGTTTTCCCCGCTTCTGCTTTCGTTCACACCGCTTTCGACGCTTCCTCTCAGGGGGTGGTGTAGCTGGCGTGTCCGGTGATGTATGAATCCGGCGGAGAAGTCCCAGGCCTCGAATATCCTCTGTGACTTTCTGGTCTAAGTTGAAATGTTTTGACTTATTCCCTACAACCATAAGGCAGTGGCGACTGTATCTTGAGCGCAACGTAGACGTTGAACTACACGCGCCAGAACATAAACACGACAAATGCACACACACACACACACTAGAACACACATTATTAGGCACACAACCGGGAGAGAGACAAACCGCTGCGTTTGTTCGTGACACCGCCATGTTTTCCTCTGTATGTATCAGTATGTTACTGATACTCATTAATTTCCCCTTAACACTAAAGAGGAAGGAGAAACAGAATATAATCATTTTTGGCGAGGCTACTTCAAACCACCTTCATGCATTTCTGCTTCAGTTAGTCCTACATTTCCTACAGTGCCTTTCAACAGGAAGGCCAATGGAAAGCTTAAGAGTGCATTAATTAATTTATTTTCAGTAGCTAGAGACTCAAAACAAATGAACACATCCTATGTCCTAGCATTGACAAATACAGCCACCAATCCTAAGCTACTGTTAGCTGACTGTGAGTTCTGGCTTTATGGCTGCAGTGCAGCAGCACAATGTCAAATGATGGAGACAGTCCTGAACAGGGCTAACACTAACTTTAAAGCTCAAATTTCTTCACTATTTAAAACATATTAATTCAACACAAAGGTAAAATCATGATTGCTAATATTATCAAAACAAATGTGTTAGCTTTAGATGTTAACGTATCCAGAACCAAGAACACTACATCTGAATCAAATCTGATTGCTTTGGCTGCTCTCAACCCTCTCCATGTCAAAAAAGACAAGCTGATGTTAAACCAGGCTTTTGCTCCTTGTCCCCCCTTCTCTGTCCAAAAGAACGTGACCTCTTTGGTCTGGCAGCCATTCTTTCAAGAGCTGATTGAGAGTTGCCATTTAGACTTGGGTGGAGTTATCTGGCAAATTGAGGAAGAAACAGGTGACCAAGAGAAAGAAGATCAGAATGAGGCTCAGAAAAGCAAAAACCAACTAAGCAGCACGAGTCTAATAGATGACTGGTTTATCAATTGTGTGGTAAAGGAAGAAAGGGTGGAAATGTTTGGGTAGAGACTGATCCTCTCCAGAGAACACCGCTGGTTTGAGAGGAGTCAAAGAAGCAAATTTTGTCCAAATAGAACACCCCTCTTCTAGATAGGGGTGGTGGACTCAGACACAACTCATCATCCATCTACAACTCTGTTTTGAAATCGCTACCAAAATATTTCCGCCCCAATTCACACCACGACAATAGGTGCTGGTCCACACATGAGGGTTCAAAGACAGGTAACGACTCTCACCGATACCAGACCCTAACAATTCAGGGGACATTGTTGACCATCGAAGGACTGAAACACCACCCAGTGGGATAAATACCTCCTGCTCACCACCAGTCAGACAGAACTGATGAAGCCTCTTGGATGAGAGGTGAAACGTCTTCTACCTAAAGCTACATCCAGATGATTTCTTCTGTGTTTTTTCAGCAACTCTACTGAATTTGTTCATTTATTTCTTATTTGTAAGTTTCATAGATTCCCACTTGTTGGGTACATACATTATTTATATGCCTGCTTATTTAAGGATATACACATGCATATAACAACAGCTGTATATTATATGGAGCACCAGAGCATTTATTACTATAGAGGGTGATTACCTGACATTTTAATATTTCAGTTTACCCTTACACAAACATATAATTATATGTTAATAATTGTTCTTCACCTTCCATCGGTTGCCGCAGCTGTTACACAGGACAAAGGTGGTCATGGGCTCATCAGCGCTGCGGGTCTGCACCTGTAATACACACACAGACTTGTTGAAAACAAAACAAAAAATGATTTCAGTAAAAACTGGCACAGTGCGTGTCCATACCTGTGTGTATGTGCAGTTCTTTCCGTGACACTTGTTGCAGATGAACATGTCTGTCTCAGTTCCTCCAACCTTTGACAGCTGATGCTCTCTGATGGACTCTTTAGTCAGAGCTTCTCTGATCTGCTTTAGCTCTGCACTCGCCATCTCCTGCACACAACACACACATTTCAACTGCTTCAACAGTCTGAATTCAATACTACACAGTGTTCGCAGAGCTCGGACACATACTTGAACTCTTTTTCACACACATTTGTTTTCATCCCTGCCTGTCAGACTCCACAATGGGCACCACGCGCACACATGCAGTGAACAAGTGACGGAGAGAAGGAGGCTGAAATTACCAAACTCCATCCACAAAAAAAAAGAAATTAAAGTCAGCAGTGCAGGATTACTTTGGATATCTCAAAAATGGACACCTTCAAGAACACATCCCTCTGTGCAGGTCAAAGTATGTGTCCCCTATATTACTTTAATCCCAAACAATAAAATGTGTGATTATACAAACACTGGTCATAAAATGTGCTAGTGAAATAATTTTACACGTTGTCTGTTCCATTGCTGATCTCTGATTTACAACAGGACTCACACTGATCCCCATCTGACCCCAGAAACACATGCACAAACTTTCTGGACTCAAAAGTGAGTGTGTGTGTGTGTCTGTGTGAGTGATGCCACAGACAGGATCAGTCTGGCTGCATTACTGCACTGCTACACTACAGTAAGTTAGCAACTATTTTGATAATCATTAGAGAATAGTGACAGCATTTCTCATTATTGTTTTACAAACCTGTCAATTGATTAATAATGAAAATAATCAGCAGATTGATCCCTAATGAAAATAATCAATAGTTCAATCAGTGCATGAGTGAGGGGCTGTTAATGGAAAGCAAAAAGTCTGGCAGTCTTCCAAGCAACTTTAATGCAAAGGTAAAAGACCAATGGGTTTTGGCATTAAGCTTTCATCATAGGTAATATGATGTAATAATATAACAGTACAAGATAGATAGTATAACATTTTACAGCATTGAATAGCCTACTTCTACTATTAATACTTTAATTAATAATACTTAGTTTTAACTTAACATTCCCAATGCAGGACTTTTGCTTGTAACAGAGTAGGCTACTTTTACTTAAGTAAAGGATGTGAACAGCACTACTGCTGATAACATGCTTTAGTTATATAACATGTTATAATTAGATCCCTTTTTTTTAATCATGTTTATAATCCTGTTTATTCTTTAGGGTCAATCTAGCTCTGCAATCCAGCTCAATCAACAATCAACTTGCAATTTAAAAAAATACCCTTTTGTTTTCATTCCTCTGAGGGTCGTTGTAGTTGATAATATTGTGTAATACCGGATAAGATAATATCATAAAGCCATGATATTTTCTGAGACAGTTATCATATTGTTACAACCCTACTCCTAAGGACCTTCTTCAACACAGTGGTGGCATCAGCCATCATCTATGGAGACTATGAAGACTAGACACACTGGTCAAGAAGGCCAGCTTTGTCCTGGGAAGTCCCCTTGACCCAGTGCTGACAGGACGATGTTAGCTAAGCTGACATCCTTGCTTGAGGAGGATTCCCACCCCATGCATAAGACTCTGTCAGCACTGGGCAGGTCCGTCAGTGACAGACTGCTTCACCCCCTTCCTCCTTGCTGTTGTCTGACTGTAAAGCCAGCATTGCTCCCAGTAGACACCCGACCCCCACCCAAAGTTGACCACATGCATCCACAGACTGAATAACTGTGAATATAAAGCAGTGCACAGTGTGCAATATATTACTTTTTCAAAAATGCATTATTACAGCTTCAATGTTTATATTGGTAACACCTTGTTTATTACTTTCTGATTCTTAACACAGAGACTGTTTCTATCCTGTTGCTGCTGTAATGATGTGAATTTCCCTGTTATGGGACTAATAAAGGCTTATCTTATACAGTGGGTATAGAAAAGAATCTAGTTTGCTTTAGTTGAACTACCAGGGACTGAAAAGCTGCAGGAAAACTATTTTCAGGCTGAGCTAATCAAAATGACCACAAGTGATTACAGTTGAAAGTCAAATGGCTTTGTGTGCCATTGAAAAGGTGATTAGCTACACCTGATTGAGTTTACAAGTCATTTTTTTGGAGGGGGGTGATCCTTTTTCCAACTCAGCGATTCCATTTTTGAATTTATTTATTTTTTCTGTCACGTTGGTGTTATATCTTTCACTTGGATGTTATAAGTTGCACTGAGTAAATACAGCTGGATAAAACAAAACTTTGTCCGTCTTCTTTTCAGGCTGCAAAGCAACGAAATGTGATTATTTTAAAGGGGGGTGATTCTCTTCTATAACCACTGTATATGCACATATGTACTATACTAGCCTTCATTCCCTAGCTCCTAAACTAATATAACCATAACCCTAATCCAAGACTAGACTCTTAAACAGCCCCTTTGGATAAGATAGGACTGGGCATAATATCTGTGCGACTCACCTCAGCAGTCATACAAGCGATGCGTTGAGGTGAGATGTTTCCACACAGGACATTACGCCGCAGTTCAGGATTCTTCTGGTCCTTCAGGTTGGAAATGCGGCTTCGTAGACGCGTTTTATATTTCATATCTGTTGACTTAAACTCCTGGAAGATCTGTGAGCACAATGAGCAGTCAAGGATGAAAACATTCAAAACTGATGAACCACCAGGTACAATGTGTATCAAATTATTAAGTTGCCATCATCTATCCATCCATTATACTGTATATACTGCTTATTCCTGAATATGGTCACAGGGGTGCTGGAGTCAATCCCAGCTGACATTGGGTGAGAGGTGGGGTCCACCCTGGACAGCTCGCCAGTCTATCACAGGGCTGACGCTTAGCGACAGACAACCACACACACTCACTCCTACTGGCAATTTAGAGTCACCTGTGAACCTAACCTGCATGTCTTTGGAATGTGGGAAGAAGCCGGAGTACCCAGAAAGAGCCGACAGGGAGAACATGCAAACTCCACACAAAAATGGCTCATGTCGGCCGAGGTTTGAACTGTGAATAAGCTTCTTGCTGTGAGGTGACAGCGCTAACCACCACACCGCTGTGCTGCCCAAGTTGCCGTCATTTATCATAAAATCTCATTTAAAAATGGATGAAATTACTGTATGAATAAATCATACATACATGGATTTAAGGATATTTGAGACAGGGTGTGTATTAGAGGCTTAAAGGTACACATATTTATATCAGACTTTTTCCTGGACTTTCAGTACAGTGCAGATGCACACTAAATGCAGTCTTTAAGAGTAGTTAACAATAAGCTTGTTTTGCATGCAGAACATTTCTTTCAAATCCATATTCCTACACCAACATATAGCTCTGAACCAGTGCAAACAAGAAGCCAGAGCTAACAGAGCCTCCCTCATCATTAAGCTCTCCTGTGTTGGAACACTTCAGCTTTCCAGTGAAACACAACAATGGATAAAGACAAATGGATAAGATGTCTTACTGCATTCTGGTCTGCCACTTAATAAGCTCATTCAGTGGTGACTGGGTATGTTTTTGGCAACACATCAAACTTGAAATGGCACTATGCGAGCATGAATATCACTACTGCTAAGGGGAAAATTAGCGTAGTACAAATGCTGCTCCCTTCATCATTTACACAACCTTTCCATGGCTTGTACAAAAGTTCTTAATGCAAGCTGATTTATTTTCCCCTTACTGAACGAAACTTATTTTGCATATTGTTCCACCCATAATGTGTACGCAGATATGTATATGCATATGTATGCAGCATTACTGTACTTTAACTTATTTTCAATTACTTAGAGTAAGCCTACAATAAGCAAGTTCTAGAAAGCTGTCCAAGGGTAGGCTCAGAAGCCCGTCCCTCATTCTCTGCTCCATTACAGTCCACCCAGCCCTTCGCTCACTGTACATCTATGTTGTGTTCACTGTCTCAGCTAATGCAGGAATCTGAAGCTTGCTAGCCCTCAATTAGATATAGCAACACCTTCCAGCAATTAATACTAGCTTGTAGCCACGGTGCAAGAGGAGCAGTACACCAGAATCACATACAGTACCCTCACTGATAGAACCGAGGTGAACAAAATAACAAAAATACCTTTCAGGATAATGGAATACAATTCAATAGCAATTCAACACCCTCTAAAATCACATTGAAGTTGAATCAACATCACAGTTTCAACAAAATCTGCACATCAGCGCCTTCATTAAGGGCTATTTATTCTGGGATTGTGGTATTAGACTGTAATGTTGGTAGCCAGGTGTACCTACTGTAATAAACTCACAGCTGCATATGTTCTCATGAACTTTCCCAACTACTGGATACCAGCAGGCTGACGTTTCAGAATTATCCTGTCATGAACTGAAGTGTTGGACAAGAGTACGATTCAAACTTCTTGTCACACTGGAAAAAAAGTCAGTTAAAATGTCTCACTTGGTAACAAATTGCTTAGCCGAGGGATGGACATGCCACAGCCCTCAGAGCCACACTGTTAACAGGTCTTATACTTGTATAGCGCTTTTCTATGCATTGCAACACACTCAAAGCATTTTCACGCTATTTGATCATTCACCCTTTCGCTCTCCCAAGTACTCACACATTCCCGCACCAGCGTCATCACCGGGAGCAACTGAGACAAGGACACTCCCACATGTGGACTAAACAAGCCGGGAAAAAAACGCTAATTTTCCAATTAGAAGGATTAGGAAGATCTGCCTCTTGAGCCAGAGTTCAAGTGAAACACATCCTGTCAGTACACTCAGATTAGGATCTTTCTTTCAGGTGTGAAGTCCTGCTCTGTTTTTTTCATGTGTTAAAGTCACAGCATGAAGTGCTGAAGGATATGTTCTTCAATTTGTGCTGCAAGATGCTCACAGTCAGCCCCAATGGTCTTGTGGTCGTCTGGAATACACAAACACACGTTGTTTCATTTCAGGCACATTAAAAGCTTTTTATACAATACAACTGACTTTTTACAAAACTACAAAGCAAAATGATTAAAAATATATGTTTATCAAATTGGGAACTTAGTAACAAACTTGTAACTCAAATGAGTAACGCAACATGTATTTGTAACTTAACACAAAATGAAGCCATTAATAATAAGGAAGTCAGCCAGTTAGTTTGATGGATTACAAATTTGACTGAGTTACAGTCAAACATCACAAACACCACTAGAGCACCGGTGGTTCATTCTTGATAATATTCCAAACCCAAGAATCGTTGGTTTTATCTTTCTACTCCGCAGCTTTATACAGCGAATGAAACTGCCCGTTACCAGAATAAGGTTGCAGGATGACACCTTAATAGTTTCTATTTGCTAAAGAAGGCCACAGAGCACCATCAAATCTCTGGAAATAAGCCAGTTTTATCTCAAACACTGCACCGGTTGATTTTCATGCTGACCTGAGAAGAAGCTGACAACGCACTCTCACCTCATTTAGTAACTGCTAACGAAAACTATGTGATATGAGACTGCCAGAAAAGCTACTAAAACGGATGTGAGACTGTTTTGTCAACCCTCTAGTCATTCATCTTCTAACTAATGAACAACAGTAAGTTCTGTTGAGATTGTAAAATAGTATTTAGTATGATAAGGTATGTACAGTCAGTGTTGAGGAAACTACTTAGAAAATGTAGCTTTGCAAACTATCAGTTACTTCACACTGGAAAGTTACTCTAGAGAGAAACATGCTATGGTAAACTAAAGTTACTTAGGAAAAGTGGTTCAAACTACTGTTAAAAATGATTAAACTGACAATGTCCATGTGACACAAAACTATAACATTAAAGCAACAAAAAAACTTTTTTTTCAGTGTACCTTGACCATTTGCCTGACTTTAGTGCTGGTGTAAAACATAGGAGCCTGTTTTGTTACTTGTCAGTTTTGCAACACCTGACTTGTACAAACTTAACTAAAACAGTCGAACTTACACCAGTTCGATAATATGAACAGTGGGCCTGTCTTTTACTACTAGTACTACTACTACTACTACTACAACACACAAGCAGTCTCTCAAAGGTGGATTAGGGTTAGAGAAACAATGGTAAAATAAAAAAGAAATCATTCCTTTTATGGCCCACAATTATTTGCAGTTTACTACACAAACAATGACAAAAATGTAATTTAACTACTTCAGTCACTACATATATATGAATGTAGTTAAACTACCAGCAAGTTACTGCAGAATGTAGTTAAACTACTAGTTTAATTACATGTAGTTCCCTACTCCCCAGCACTGTGCACACAGTAAGTGACTTTACTGTCATTTGTAGCAGACAATTAGTTCAGTCTGTCAGCAAACACTGAATACTGTAATCAATTTAAAACATGATGAAAATCGACACAAGAATGTCTCATCAGCAGCTTCATTCCAGAGTTAATCAGCAGCTGCTTTCCAGAAACATTGTGTTCACACAAAACATCAAACTGAAGTTCTAAGCCTCTGTGTAAGAGCTGCTGTCAAAGCTTCTACTTGCTGTTCAGCCAGATCTCGTCAACAATTTTGCATTTTAAACACCCTGTCTATAGCTATGTTTCTCATCACCGTCAGTCTGCAGCGCAGCCACCAGCAGCTCCCGGCACTTGTTCCTGACATTGTCAGTGGTGACAGGAACAGGCGGGAAGACGGTCATCTGACACGGAAGAGTGGGAATGGTGGGGGTGGTGGGGGTCTCACCAGACTTCTTACTGTAGGGTTTGGAGTGAGAGAAATATTAAAGAGTTGTGGTTAAAGAAGAGTAAAATTAACCTGATATGTGACTCAGTCAGTCAGTCTTTAAAAGTGACACACACACACACTTAGATGTGCGCCACTTCTGTCTGTTTCAACAATACATCACAGCGGCCGCCACACACCCCGGGCCGAGGCTGTGCCTCCTAATGCACGTCAGTGTATGAGGGGGGGATCTATCAACACTAAAATCATCATAACTCACTGAAATTACAGCTGATTTTCTGGTTGTTTGGTTTGTTGCAAACCCCAGAGATGTATTTATATCATATAAAACCACTTCATCTTTTGCAGATTGTAACAAAATATTTATATAATATAGAACATCCACAATTAATTATTCAAAAGCAACAATCCTGCCACCCCTCTCCACTGTAAAATGGCTGCCATAATACATAATTACACTGAAGTGAAAAGATTACATACAGATTTGGGCAAGCTACAGTTCTCTTTAATTTTATAGCAAAATATTCATATTTCATTTCAATTTATGTACAATATCTATACACAGTATGTATTGGAAGGGTTCTGTAGAGTTGCAATTTAAACATACTGATAAACCAGTCTTACAGTTTTGTGTAACTGCATAAAGGAAAGGCACTTTTAAAGCTAACAGACAGACCTTTTCTCACAGCTGCCAGACTCCTTGGAAGTAGATGTTGACCTCACAGGAGAGCCTTCTCTCTTCTTCTCCTTCTCCTTCTCCTCAGACTTCCCCTCTGAGTCATCTGTGGGATAAGAAACAATACTAACAAATTTTGGCTCAGCTCTCAAACAACGTACCACTACACAGTAATGTAGCAGTAGCAGCAGTAAGCTTACAGAGAAAATTATTGATGAGAAGAAACTCAAAGAATGCACTGATTATATACAGAATGATGCTCATTGAAAATCACAAACCCACTGTGTTATATGAAAACCCGCACTGGCAGCCTCACTGTGGGCTGGTGTGAGCCAAAAGGCAGGTTTCCATTCAGATGTAGCACAAATTAGAACCAAATGTAAAGCCAGATTAACTAAGCACAAATTCAGATAAATCAAGTAAGGACTGTTTTCTCCCTGCTGTACTAAACCCCCCACTCTGCTATCTTTTTTGCACTCTGTGGCCAGTGTTGTTAAAAATCAACGCCATACTTCTTCCCCCATCCCCAACGATCCAAGGTTATAAGATGCATTTTTCAAACCAGTATTTCTCATTTCAAAGATGAACCATGGAGGCTCCCTGTGCAGCTACAACCCAGGATGAGACCAGACATGTTAGAACCAAGAGGCCATGTTCTATAGCAGAAGAGTGCAACACAGAACGAGGCAAAACCAGGGTTACCATCCATTTGGCATGCCAGAGATGGAGAGCAGTAAAAGCATCCACAGGACTAAAATTTGACACAGATGTGGCTTTCTTCCTTCTAGACGTGCAAGTACTGTAGCTGGCTAAAGTGTATATATCAGCATCATTACAAGCTAACATTAGCATTTCAATTTTGTACCTTTGTATTGAAATATTCTGTTTGTAATTTGCAGTCATTCCAACTGACTGCAATGTTAGTGTTTTGTTGTCCAGTTACTGTCGAGGCTGAACTAGGGAGTGGACTCAGAATGCAGACACAGAAGCGGAGGTGATTGAGAAGGAGGTTTTAATAAAGCTTAAGTCGATTTAAGTCGGTTCAAATGGTAACAAAATTACAGGCAGGTAGAGCTGAGCTGGGGGAGGCAGGCAGGCAGAGTGGAATTTCTGCTGGTGCTGGCGTACCCAGGCAGAGGTAAGATACCCAGGTAAGTGGTGGTAGTTGTAATTGAGGGGGACAGGTAACTGAGTGAGAGGTACAGGTCCTAACCAGGCAGTGGCATGGAGCATAGGTGAGTATATTCATAGATTAGGAGTGGACTTGCTTGGCGTCAAGGAACAGGTAAGCTGAGTGCCGAGGTGCTGGCTGCTGTCGAAACGAGAGAACGTCGTGCAGTAACATCAGGCACAAAAAATGTTGCAGTCTGGACATGGTGAGAGCAACTACGGACACCAGAGGGGCATCATGAATTGAGTAATGGACCAGCGAATGACTGAGGGAAAAGTAGTATATATAGCTGAAAACAAGGGGATGATAGGCAGCAGGTGAACAGAAAGAATGCTGATTGAGAACCATGGTAAAACTGGGGCAGGAGAGATGAAGCAGAACGAGAAGAAAAACCAAAATAAAAGCACAAAAAGAGGAAGCAAATCTAAATCATAACAATTAGCCTTTCCTGGATTAGCAAAAGAAGTAATTTTGCTAATTTGTGCTCAGTTTTGGTCCAGTTTATGTTGAGCATACCAAAGCCATCCATGTAGCATTTTAGTAAGAAGCTGTTTACGGCATCAACACAACTAGAAAAGTGGGGAGTTTGTTCAACTATCAATTCTCGTCTCACATACACAAATGTAAACCTCTTTATTGGACATTGTGTCACTGCAATGCCACCAAAAACCATGGGCTCTAAATTCAATATACAGGAGCCGGTTATTACTGCTGCACTACCTGACTGCCACCACTAAATTTATGTAAAATTTACTGTATTTGCTAAGCCTGCTTTCACGTCACATTTTGCTTTGACCGAAACACCTACCAACTACTAGCCAAGCATTAACTGTTTGTTTCTCCAAATTTTCAGCACTTTCACTAAGGTTTTTAAGAGTCAATTGTGTCAAATGCACATAAGATCAGGTAGGTAGAAACCTAATGATTCACTGTTACCATGTCCTACTTTTCAGAGGCTGCATTAATACAGCAGAAAACTTATCACATTCATTTCCCAGATCAGCATATCCTGGCTACTACCCCTTGAATACTTTTTCTTTTTTAACCATGTGTTAACTGGCAACACTCTGCTCTATTAACATTGCAGGTCAAATAAATTTTTCATACCAATCCAGAACCCCAAAAATGCGGAACTGCAGGTTCGCCTGTGTCATACCAGCATTCTTACTTGATTTAAGAAGGACATTGTGTCACAGAAGTGCTGGACTCAGTCGACTGACAACAGTTCTGATAACAAGAATTCTGTCACTTATCCCAAAAATGTGATGGAGTTCCTGCTTTTCTCTGTTTGCTTGTAAACTGAATCTTTTTAGGTTTTGGGAGCTGGTCAGGCAAAACTAGATAGTTGACAATGTCACTTTAGACACAACCCAAAACTATAAAGAATAAACAATGAATTAATTATAACAACACAACACGTTGATCAATAAGTTCACACATGCTTCTATGCTTATCATTTGTATAATAACCACCATGATCCTAACCCTGTCCTAATTCTCATGGGCTAAGACTCAACAACCCAATCCCAGTTTCCACACTCACAGACTTATAGACTTTGAGCCACACCCCCACTAGGCTGATGAGGGCTCAGGGCTGTGCCACTGCAAAATTGTCAAGTGCATGAGGGCTCTCTAGCTTCCATTTTGAGCCCTTTATACTTACTTTCCATAAGTCAGCGTTTCTGACTTTTACCTTTATCTTAAAGAATGTCCTGCAGTTCATAGCTTTGTGACATTAAACACAAGATGAGCCCTACCCAGGGAAGGCTAGTGGCATTAAAAAATGTAAACAAATGCCAATAAATTGGAGATAAGAAAAAAAAAGATGAATGGTAAACAAGCAATTATTCTTTGTTATTTTAAATGATGTTATTCTGTTTTTGTATGGAGCGCTGGACAGAAGCATCTGCTAAATAGGTAAGCATATAAGTACTATTACAACTACTAATACAACTATTTTTCTTTTTTGCTTAATGATGCTGTTTTCACAAAAACATATATTAAACTGACAAGGTAAATGACACTTGCCCCTTGTCCACTCTGTAAGGCAGGAGCACCTTCAAACCAGCCAGTCGGTCCCTGAAGTGGCCGTGAGGAAAATGAAAAACATAAAAGCTCTAAACCCACAATAGTTAGAACCATGTCATTGCTTTGGCATTGTCATGGTGATGTGGCAGGCTAAGTCACAAAGTGCTGTCCCGTTCCTATTTACACGTTTTCTAGCTCTTGCACTCAATCACTTGGAGGTGACGTCACTCATGTCTTTGAGGGTTTAGGGCTTACGAGGGCTTAGGGAGGAGTTTGGGATTGGGCCAAACTGGCCTTCACAAAGACACAAGAGCACATGCGCACATACACACACACACACCCAAGAGTTTCTTCCAGGACTTGATGAGAGTTTTGGCCAGAGTCTGAACTTCTTCATCTGAACTCTGTTTCCTCACCGCATTCACTGACATCCCAACTCTGGTTGACTGCAGACAGAAACAAAGAGAGACAGTTAGGATAAACCGGTGTAAAAAGGCATCAAGTTCTAACATATTAGCTGAGACAGGCAGCCAAATTAACATCAAACCTAAATTAACATTCATGTTTTTGAAGAAATCAGTGTCTTGGTCACTGGGTTGGCTGTTGGAACTGCAGTGATACTATGAACAGCTGTTAGTGTCTTCCTACACTACTAGGGGCTGGCTGTGGCTCATGAGGTGGGGCAGTCGTCTCCTGACCGGCAAGTTGGTGGTTCGACTCCCGGTCTCCCCGCATGCCTAAGTGTCCCTGAGCAAGACACTGAACCCCGAATTGCTCCCGGTGGCTTGACTAGCGCCGGTGCATGGCAGCCTGTCGTCATCGGTGTGTGAATGTTGACAGAAGTACACAAGTTGAAACAGTGAATATCTGGTTCGACCAATCGTGCTGAAATTTGACTTGCCTAATATCTGTGTAGGAAGACACTAACAGCTGTTCATAGTATCACTGCAGTTCCAACAGCCAACCTAGGTGGCTCCCAATGACAACTGGGACATTGCTGGTAATTAAACTGGGATCAGTCCAGGGCTGTGGTGTACACCAGTCTGTTGCATACTGTGGAAACAGACAGCACCCATCGCAAACCTTGAAGTTTAGACATCGTTTCAACAAATATGTCTTTGAAAATGTCAGCTTAGTATATAATCCCTTACACAGAAAGTGTGGTGAACTGACTTTTTTAACATGTTATCTTGCTTAAAATTTTTTCCAATTACTGCACAAGCTCTATAGGTGAAACCTGGGCAGCTTGTATCAACAGACATGGAGAAATGTAGACCTTTTGTCCTTGACTGACAGAAATAGACTACAGCCAAAGCAGTAACGCTGCTTAAGCAGTGTATGCAGACAAGTTTTGTTTTGTTGAAAAAAAAAACAAACAAAAAAAATCCATTAACATAAACACAAAAACATGGTATATGAAAGATGAAGCAGAAACAAAGCTGATCTTGTAAATGAATGCTAACCTGGGTATGAGTTAGTATCTGCTGTATTGTTAACATCACAGCACTAACAATATTGCATGTAGCCAGATGGTGCTGGGTAGCTGCTGTAACCACACCCAACACTGGTGTCACAGTGTGTGAACATACCCTGGGGTACACTCTTCTATCACTAGAGCAAGGTGAGACGTTAACCCCCTGGCGCACAGCAAAAACACAATTTTCATCTACTGTTATTGTTCAGTGTCTACCACTGGGTGGCAGTGATATAGTAGAGGGGTGGTTAATTACCTGCAGGGTCTCCAAAGACATCTTGATGTTCTTTAATTCCCTCAGCAGGTCAAGAGCACCATCCTGTACACAAAACACACAACCTTCACATTAACTCCTGAACCAGCAAATGTACAGTCACCTCAGTGGTGAAAGCTTAAAACACAAGTCCAGCTTGTTATTTTTTTCCCCACTGTGTTAGTGTGTGTCTGTTAATCAGAAATGACATTTCACTGTCTCATTAAACAAAGAAATATTTCACAGTTGCAGAATGATTTCAATGGACAACACCCATTCCTGTCAGAGGTTTTCTACTGGGGAAGCTCTGCTTTGATCCATTGATTTGGCCATGCAGCCAAAATACTTGAAAATCCTCAGCATTGCTACAATTTGTGGCAAATTTTGCATGCTTTGTCTAAGTCATAAAATTAAAAACTGAACTCAGACATGGTTTAATGGGGTTAATTTGCCAAAATGCAAAAAAGAACCAGTCTTCTCAAGACACTTTACAAAGTAAGGTCTAGACCGGGAGAGAGACACACAGTTAGTGACCCGTAAAAGTAGAAAGAGTGCCTGCCTCCCGAACCGAGACTGGGAGCTAAATGCTCTGCCTCCCATTGTACTTCTGTGGACTCTAGGAACCACAAGTAAACCTTTCACCAGTGCAGTTTCTGTACAATGATGGACTCTAAATCCTGACTGAAAATCCTCAAACAAATCATTCTTGTCCAAGTGGTCACATAACTGCTTTACAACAGCTTTTTCAAGGATTTTAGAAATAAACGAGAGATTGGATATTGGTCTATAATTAGCTAGAACACCTGGGTCAAGATTGGGTCTAAAAGATGATGATTTCGATGAAGCAGTTGTTGAGTTTAGCTCAGAGAGATCTATGGAAGAGAAGCAGTCCAAATATAAATGAGGTAGATTTTGGTGCTGATCTGGATCATCATATGGATCTGAGAATTTTTTTTTAGAGGATTCTTTATTAATTCTGCACCTGGCTCATACAATCCCAACTGCAGCTCTCTTTTCTGCCATCTGGTATCACAAACCCTATGCTCTGTGGATGCAGGTTATTTAAATATTACATCTTCACACACAAAGGCAATTAAAAGGTGCTTAACACGATGCACACAAGTAGATAAAACATTAGAATGCATACAAAATTCACATAAATGCCCTGTGAAAGTAGACTAGTTAAAATCATTAGCCGAGAGAACCATCAGTCAACTGAAACTGTTCTAGCCTAAGCTTTGTTTCTCTCTCTCTATGTATGTATACATATATATATACACACACACACACACACACACACACACACACACACACACACACACACACACACACACACACACACACACGCCACACATCAAAGCTGTTGCCCACAATTGGTGCTGAAATGTAGCTGCTGGTTCGCACCTCCAAAGTGGGTCGAGGGTAGCGAAAACAAATACAGAACCTGCAATGAGTGTTACATGCCTCAGCATGTTTTGGTAGGTTCCTCTGGTGGAAAAGCCCTCTATACAGAGGTTAATAGTTTTTGAGGGACTGGATCTGGAATTGAACACAATTGGAGTGACCGAACAACATTATCATGAATCAGACGATGATTCTGACCCTGAAAAAAACTTTTTTAAGAACTCTGAAAATAACTGCAAGTATTACACGGATGAGCAGTTTAACAGCAATGTCAAGACTGAAAACAAATTATTATTAATTCACTTCAATAGCAGAAGTTTATACGCAAACATTCAGAGTATAAAACATTATCTTAGTAGTCTTACACATTCTTTTAATATAATTGCTATTTCTGAAACTTGGATTAACACTGTAAGGGGAATGGATTTTGACCTTGATGGCTATGACTTGGTATGCACAAACAGAGAGA